AAAGGAGAGGATGAATGTACAAAGATCAAACACATCAATACGATTTAATCCACATTTGTGTCTTAAAGCAGTAGCTTATCTGAAGAGCATGTGTAATTTTAAAGGATAGAAAGACAAAGGCAAAGGAACTAGGTAAGAAGAGACTATCTTATTCAAAAGTAGCTTTTACAAAAGTATTGGTGGACTCTCCCTCCTTTGAAATAGAGGTGAATGTCGATGATGACTGCTTCTGAGACACTGCATGGAGTTGATATGCAGGTGGCTACTAAGTCTTTTGGACAATGAAACATATACTCAAATATGGTCACAGTTTCAGTATTTAATCATTCATAAAATCATTTGCTGAAAGCAGGTATAGCTTGAGCCAACAGCAGCTAGAGTTAATATATTCCAGTACTGCAGCAGCTCCAGCTGCTCCAGATGTTTGAGAGCCTTTGTGAGGTTTGCTCCGCGTCGGCTGTGGCAGCCTTGCCAGGTAACACTGCTGAGGCTGCATGTGTGGCTTGACTTCTGTGCCATCCAAGCGATAACACAAGCCTGATCCCACAAGTACAGATAATTTCCAGTAATCATTGTTTCTATGTTTCCATGGTTACTGGAAAGATAAAAATTCTATTTTTGCTTCGTGAAACTACAAAAATTGAATGTTTTCCAGAATCTGTGCAAGGTTAAAATTAAATTGTGAGCAGACAATATAGCCATTTTTCTTTCATGTGTGCCATCTCTTTACTCTCTTTTCACCCTTTCCATCACTTCTGACCTGCACAAATCCCACCAGCTCCACAGGAAAGCTACTCCTCAGAAATAATCCCAAAGGGGGCAGAGATCAAACTCTTTCCTATGGAGTCCTAGAAAGACTTCAGGCATCATTCATTCTAAAAGAAGAAAAGAAAAAGAAAAACGAATATTGATTCCAAGGTCTAAAGAGTTTGTTATTTATATAAATGCAGCTAGAGCAGATGTGGCAGAAGTCGACAGTAACCTCCTGCTCCATTTTTACGGCAACTCTGCCTATGAGGGCCAGCATAATTATTTGTTGAACCTGTCAACTACAGGTAGGCTTAGTGTGCAGTATTTAATGAAACCTCCATGGAAATGTGTGTTGTTGCACCTGGAAGAGTGGGGTATTTTTTCAAGCTCAGGCAATACCCAGATCACATAAGAGAACACAGTGATGGGTCCTTAGTAACCAGTCTGTGCTAACAGGGTGGTGAAATTCGTGCAGGGCCATCGTGAGCTATGTGGCTATTTTAGGTCCCTGCACCTGACCAGTTAGCCCCATTGCTCTGAAGAGTGTTACAAAGACACAGCATTGTAATGCTGGTCTGACTAGACTTCAAAGGTATCTGGTTCATTTGGGTGTATTTTACTGCCTTGCAAAAGGCACATGAAGGAGTAAACACAGATAGCCCAAATGTCCCTCCTGCTGTTTTGATGGCTCCAACTTTACACCACAAAAAGCTCCACCTTCTCTTTGGAGAAATGAACTGGGTGGTTGGCAAGGCCTTTGCTAGAGACCTCTCTGCTCCATCGATGCGGTCTGCTGGAAAAATGTACTTTACTCAGACTATCCACTCATCATCTTGCTCTTGTTACTATTTATACCACAGCAGCATGTAAGTGCCTTAGACAAAGAAGACTATAAATATTGGAAAGGAGCTGCTTGAAGAATTTCTAATACAAAAGACATGCAGAAGTAGAAAGGAAAATTAAAATGCTAAGACATGAAATCACTTGCCCAAGTTCCCAGAAATCAGGTATCCCACTGCTTGTCCATTTTATTAGGACTTTGGCCTTCCTAGTTTGTTGCTGTCAAACGTTTTGTTTGCGTCATGAGATTGACACAAACATGAAACATCCCAGGAACAGGACTAGGGGTATTTCACCCTGGCATATGTTCCCTCTAGAGAAATTAGGTTTTTTAAATCAGAAGGCAGTTTTGCTAGCGTCAGATACCTCTTGTCTTCTGCCATGAAAATGCCTGCAGGGTGACTGTAATGAGAAGTGGAAATACCTCACTTCTTCCTCAGCTGCCTTCCTGAGTTTGCTGATCTCAGGCTGGGTTCGGATATTGCAAGTCTGGAAAACAGACTTCAACAGTGATTCATATCACAGCACGTAACACGCAAAGAAGCTACAAAGCTACTCTCGTATTCCCCCAGATGCTGACATTCTATTGTTTCTTTGCATATGATATTTTGCAAAAAGGAAGTAGTTAATTTCCTTTTTGTAGTAAATGCAAGGACCAACAACATTTATGTGATGCAACTTCAGAATTTATACCGGGTGATGTTTTTCCTTCAGCTGTATCAAGTGGCACTGAGAAACAATGCTGGAAGTTCGAAAGACAAGCAGTGAAAAATATTCTGCTAACACGTTCCTGTCATGTACGCTGTGAGTGCATTAATTTTTGCTTGAACAATGAAACAGGGAGACCTGTAAAACAATCTATTTGTAATGGGATTCTGCACGTGGTGTCCTGATACACAGTCTTGTCTGAGATGCGAAAGAGCGCTGCCCATGTCAGTATGATAAATACTATTTTTAGGGACAAGATGAGGGGAAACATTAGCCTGGCAAGAGTGTGTGTGAGCAGCAGAATGTGACAAGTGCTGTGACACGTCTCAGCCTCCTGGGCTGGGGCTGCCTGGCAATCTGCTACCAAAAGCGTATGTAAGTCACCACTAACAGACCTGCTGCTGCTGTAAATTAAAGTTGGTCAGTGTAATCTCATTCCTAAGCACTCTCCAGAGGTGGGAGGGGAAAGCTGGAGCTCTGTGTGAGCGGGGTTGTGGTCACAGAGTGGTGAGACATCTCTCCCGACAGCAAGCACCTGGCCCAGGAGAGGAGGCATCACCCCATGCCTCTCCCCCAGTCTGATGGCGGGGCAAGAAAGTGGAGCGGGGCCATACTCTGCATCTTCTACCCCATTGCTTTATGGGGAACAGACAGAAAAGTTTCTTCTGCCTGGGCATTTCACCTGTGAAACCTCTGTCTTCTGCTGGTGCCACCGTACTTTGGCATGGGCGAGTCACAGCATGCCCTGGCATGGGGCCCTCAGTGCAGCAGGAGCAGGGTGCTGGCACGGGTCCTCTGCTCCCAGGCTGGCTGGCAATGGCTATATCAGTCTGGAAACCAGGAAAGGATTTTGGATCCTTGGCACGTCAGAAGGCAACAGTGCAAAAGCACAGGAGGTGAGCTGGAGGTGAGGGGCACTGAGATTCACGCAGGTGTTTAGCGGGGCTGAGCCACAGACATGAATCCTGCTTTCTTGGTCCTATAAGAGCTGCTTGGTACAGGTACAGATGTAAGGAAGGTAGCCTAGGGGCACCCACGGGTCTTCAGCTTATCTTCCCCACTCCTCACCGCCCTTCCTGTGGAACGAGATGGGGACATGCAGGGGTGAGGGATGGGAGGTGCTCCTTGTGTGCAGGCGTTAGTTGAGGCCATGGCTGTGTGGGTAGGTGAGTCCCACCAAATGACTGCTGCAAGGGCCCTGCTGTGCAACTGAGGCTGTGCCAAGGGGCGATGGAGCCCGGCTGCCCTGCCCGTGTCCCCCAGAGAGCCTGGGGACACAGCAGGAGCCCGCAGATCGCGCGGGCAGGGCAGCCTTCCCTGGGTGGCACCCACTGGGACAAACCACAGCAACAGCCTGCCCAGGGCAAATCTTTTCAGTTCACATAGCTTAAATCACATGAGGATCAAGAGTGATTTATCCAACAGCACCTAGCTAACCAGTAGCTAGTGGACTTTACATTCAGGTTCAATACCAGCAATACAGCAGATAAACTGCATTACTAGACACTAAGCAAATGTTAATAAACATCAATAAAATCCTAAACACTCTTCTAACCCCAAAACCTTCTGGTCACCCACTCTGACACATACACCTGCGTGTGGTTGCAGCAAGGGCTACACAGATCATGTCCCCAGGACCGGCCACTTCTACCTGGGGGTGCTGGTTGACAGCCGGCTGAACATGAGCCAGCAGTGTGCCCAGGTGGTCAAGAAGGCCGATAGCATCCTGGCTTGGATCAGGAATAGTGTGGCCAGCAGGAGTAGGGAAGTGATCGTCGCTTTGTGCTCAGCATTGGTGAGACCGCAACTTGAATACTGTGTTCGGTTTTGGGCCCCTCACGACAAGAAAGACATTGAGATGCTGGAGCATGTCCAAATAAGAGCAATGAAGCTGGTGAAGGGCCTGGAAAACAAGTCCAATGAATGGCAGCTAAGGGAACTGGGGTTGTTCAGCCTGGAGAAGAGGAGGCTGAGAGGAGACCTTATTGGTCTCTACAAGAACCTGAAAGGAGATTGTAATGAGGTGGGGTTTGGTCTCTTCTCCCAGGTAACAAGTGACAGGACAAGAGGAAACGGCCTCAGGTTATACCGCAGTGATTTAGATTGGATTTTAGGGAAAATTTCTTCACTGAAGGGGTTATCAAGCATTGGAACAGGCTGTCCAGGGAAGTGGTGGAATCACCATCCCTGGTGGTGTCACCATCCCTGGAGGTATTTAAAAGACGTGTAGATGTGGCACTTGGGGACATGGTTTAGTGGTGGACTTCATAACATTAGGTTAACGATTGGACTCAATGATCTTAATGGTCTTTTCCAGCCTAAAGAATTCTATGATTCTCCAGCCAGCCCCAGTCACCCCGCATATCAGGACGAGTGCCTGCTGTCCAGCCTCCCCTCAGCACCACACCATCCTCTGTGCTCTGCATGGAGCTGTTTTCCCATGGACAGGAGCATGGCCATCCTATGTGCCTGCAAAGTGCCCGCTCTCTGCCTAGGCCATTGCTATGTCTTCTGTTTTTCCTTATCCAGTTATCAGGAGTCAGTTTAACAGAATTACAGGCTCCACTTAGGTGCCTTCCTGACTTTGGACTTTGGCTAGCTTTACTTCTCTTTTTTCGGGAGTCACTGGCGCATCTCTGCAAAAGTAGGCTCCTCTTTTGAAAGCATACAGCTGGTGTGCACGGATTTTGCAGAAAAATCTTTTATTTTGTGGATCTGTCGGTAATTGCTCCTGGATCAATCTCAGAAAGGTCTCTGTGAAGGCTGACCTCCTTTGAGACGTCACCTTCATTTTTATGCAGAGTCATGGTGTTCTGCTCCACAGAGAAATGCTCTGGTATAGCTGCTGTGATGATGAACACCCTGCCCGCAATGGTGAATGTTGTACAAGGAAGGCCAGAGGTGCCTACCAGCTTGTACCTGAATGCCATGATTTTATTTTCTGTGAGAGTGTTGGTGACAGGCATGGGTTTCAGCAGAGCCAGCACACTGGTAAATCTTATGGCCTCAAAGGAAGTTGTGTCTGTCTGAGACTCCAACCCTGTCACTTCACTTCCATCTTCCAAGGAGCATTGTTCTCCCCTGCTGCTAAAGCCCCTATACAGAACAATGTAGTGTGCAGCAAAAATGATCTTTCTAACATACTTGCATGCCCTATTGGCAATATCTGTCACAAACACAATGGTTTTCCAGAGCAAACCACACTTTTCTCCAGGAAGATCCGAGGGATCACAGAGCCATGACTGAAGCAGGAGAAATAAACTACGTCTTTCCTAGCTTCCACCACCAGTGGAGCCTGCGTGGAGAGGGTGGGTGGACAGGCAAAATATGGTGAGTTCTTGTTGCTGGATACATGGTTATTCCCAAACACCACATGCTAAAGTTCTGACGCAACAGCTAAAGATGCTCAGCCCTCCCCTCAAGCCTCAACATTAACCCAGAGGACAGTATTCCTCACTGCACCAAATGTGACATGGCTGGATTATCACAGTCCTCCTGAGCATCTGTGCAAAGAATTCATGTGTGCATATGTAAACATTGTCACTCTTAGCTACCTGTACCCAAATTTAAAGGGAGGCCACAAAATCATTAGAATCATCATGTTCTAACTGTCTTGATGGTCTTTGACTGACTGGTCCATTCTAGGCAGAGTTTGGTAAAAATGGCACCTCCTATTTGGTGATGCTTGCCCAAGACTTAGACTCCAAAGCAAGAGAGTAACCTCCGTTTTCCCTCACCCTGGATCTCAAAGCGCTCCCTACATGTCACTTGAAGACTTACAATGCACCTTGTATGCTAGAGAAGAAACATCTTGGTGCAAGACCTAGAACAAAGATGGCAGAAGATATTGAAGTGTCATTTGAATGTTAAAAGGAGGAAGCTCAGAGCTAAAAGTTCATGGACACTTAATCGTAAGCAGTTACAGCTCTGGATCAGAGCAAGGTAGCTCTATGTGTCTCCAACTCAGACAGCTTGTTCCCCTTGCTCTGTCTTTCATATGTCTTTTGTGGTCACTAGCAGTTCCTTGCAACAGTAGACTTCTCTCCTCTTTAGCTAAGACAATTGGTGGCTGCAGCAAGTCCCTTGAACAAAGTAGGAGATGCAGCCAATTTTGCGGGTGAATGTGAAGGGAATACTCGGAGGAAAGCTGAAGTGGAAGTCAAAGGTGTGGTCACCAGTCATCTGAAAGCCAACCAACACACTGCTATCAGAAGTCTTTTAAACATTTAGGTTGTTTGTACCTTATGGAAACTTTGATGTTTCTCCCAGAATCCAAGGTGTCCTTACCATCCAGTATTGCACCCAAAGTGCCATAAAGCCATGGTATGGGGTGGACTGTGCATTACCTCTGCAGGTCAGCTGCTGAGTGTATGGACCCCTACCAGTCAACAGACTTGGGAACTGCTAATCTGACTCATTTTAACACAAGGTCACCTAACCTGCAGCTCCTTACAAACTGTTTCGGATTTTCGCTTAGCAAACTGGAGCGCCACAGACTTTTAACCTTCCAAATAAACATTAATAGGGTTTTGAGGAGAAAAACGGTGTAATAACTCTCACTCCTCTTTTATCATTGTCTACAACACCTGTGCATATGATCTGAAACTTTCATTTCACCTGTGCAAAAGACCCCACTCACAAATAAAGTAACATTTAACACCTTCTCTGCACAAATGAGAGACGGGAAAGCTGATCCATTCTTTCAAATACCTTTCCTTCTGTGCCAGTTCCTCTTAATCAAATTCAGTTCTGTGTGGGTGAAGTCCCACTGCCTGTAACGAAAGACTATCCCACCTATGCAAGGATAAGTCTGGCCTCTTCTGGCCAGATAAGACCAGCTCTTGACTGTTTTCTTCATCCAAGACTTATTTCTTTTCAACACATGTATCTGCTGGGAGTCTGTCATCCAGTCTTGAGCTTTCCTTCCTTTTAGCAGCTTGTGCCAAAACTTCACTTTGAACAACAATATTAGGACATGTGAGACACTGCTAGAATTTTTGTCCTGCTGACTGTATCCTTTTGCAGATGATTTCAACAACACCTTGAGTTTTAATAATCTAAACTGGATATTCTTGTTAGCAGAAGAGCCTGGATATTGTTTCCTTGCAGCATGGGATATTTACCAGATAGCATAAAAGCATTTTCAATCAAACATCAGAGTTGTCACTGAAGAAAAAAAATGCCTAAAAGAATCTGAAAGGGAGGAAACTAAAACTCATCAGCCTCTTAGATAACTTCAATATAAGAAAGTCATGTTGTCTATTCTGACAGTTTGTAGAAACCTGATATTCCCAGGGCCTTATCTCACATGACGTTGACTTATTTAAGTTATTTTGGCAATGTTCTTGTTTTGGTATAAGGAAGGACTTTGAACCTGGAGCAGATCTGCAATTTAACCTTGAAAGAAATCAGTGTTCCCCTCCTGGAATGATCTGCAGTTAGGCCCTGGTGTGACTGGTCTGTTTTGCAACCCTAGCACAGTGTGGGGATTTATTGAAGAGTTCAGATTTCTCAGTCCCTGCTGCAGGTATAGCCTCAGAGCCTGGCGTTGCGTGCAGGGCTGAAGTAGGCCCTGTGGCACAAAAAGGCTTGCAGATACACATTTCATTCTATGAACAGTTTTAATCCCAATTCCTCTTGTTTTGCATCACTTCTAAAGAGACTTCTTTGACTTGTGCCCGCTTGCTAAGCTGTGCTTAACTTTCTGCACAAGCCCTTGGACTCAAAAGGACCTTCTGGCCTTAAACAATGTCCCTGAATTCACCCTGGAAGCAAAGGTGCACTCGCTTTCCCTGGCTCCCCACAGGAGCAGCCATCCTGTACGTGGGCTCCAAAAACCTTATTGCCCTGAAACCACGCAACAGAATTAATCACACTGCAGAGAGTTTCCCAGCAGCTGCAGAGGTGGGAGGGTGCTGCCAGGAGTTTGCTCCCCAGAGGTGCGCGGGGATGCCACGTGCTCCATGTTCAGCAGAACCTGGCAACTTCAGTCACACTGGAAAATCTAAGTCAATTCCAGATAATTTGTTGTGCCACGCAATTCAAAAAGTGCTCCATCTTGTATTACGCAGCAAGGGAGATGATGGCTGCAGCTGTGGCGAGAGCGCAAACAGGCTGCTGGTGGGAGTGACTTCAGGGGTGAACCTTCTTTGAAGGACACGAGGGATTTCCCAGGGTGCCACTGACGGCACATGGCAGTGCTGGAGGAGTTTCAACCTGCCGGTAGTGTTGTGAGCTCCTGCCCCTGGTTTGCTCTGGCCTAGGGGTTTCTGCTGGTGATGGGGATGGTTATCCCTGGTAGCACGGCAACTGTTCTTTTTCTTTTCTGGGTCTAATTATCCTAGAGCTGTTACCCATCTTATTCGATGACTGCAAGGAGTCAGTTCCTCCAGCAGTCTTTATCTCACAGAGGGACAATACAGAGTTTCAAGTGTGGTGACAGGGCTTACCAGGGTTAAAAAGAAATATGTCAGCAGGTACCTGGATCCATGTATAACGCTTCTTACAGAGACATCAGCTGTGACCCAAGCAGGGCATTTGGCAAGATCAAACACCAGATAGTAACATGCTATCAGGAGCATATTAGCAGCTGAGTGTCAAAAGCTGACACCAGCAGCAATCTGTTCAAACATACTTGTATGCCAACATTAGTGGGGAGCACAGAGTATTCAGGGTGAGAAGGGTCAGGTCCGTATCTTCTTTCATGTTTTAAAATGGCTTTCTTGGACTTGTTAGAGCATGTCTACAGAGATACAATCAATGCTGGAAAAGGAAGGAAAATACTGAGTTACAGTAGTAAAAAGCTGTTATTAAACTGCACTGCATGGGCAAGTTTTGTTTGATGTGAATGCTCAACTATTTTGAAAACAGGAATACATATGTAGGTGGCAGAATACGGATTCAAGTGTGTCTTCAAGCAACATCAATTTGAACTTTAGCTGCGAAGATCCAGAACTGAGGTGCTTTACATGTACTTGTTCTTATAATGACAAAAATAATTCTTCCAACACTCAGGCTTTCTCTCTCTTTTCTGTCAGGGCCGTAACATCTGGTGGCCTACAGGAAGAGTCAGCATGCAGCAGTACATCAAGGCTAAGACTCTAATGCATGTGTAAGGGGAAAATAACCTTTGGACAAAGTAGAGCCTTCAAGTCTGAGAAGAAACAAAGCCTGACTACTACAGGTCATAGCTCAAAAGCACAGTTACCATGCATTGGCACAGTCTAATTTCAGTACTAAGCTAATCTAGGGCAGCGACCACCTGTGATCTGCAGACTAAATTTTCAGGACTCCCAACAGACCCTAAGAAAGAGTAGCTGAGAAAGGGGAGTGCACCTCCTAGGAGACTTCGATATACTTTAAGCATCCACTGGAATAATTCACTGTTTTAGGTGGTCATTGCATGCCACTGACTTTACTCTTTTTAGTAAATCTGTACATTTTAACATTTAGCTCTGCATTTATGTGTGTGTGTGTGTTGGGGTGTATAATATCAGAAGTGAAGGTGCAAAGAAGATGGAGCCAGGCTCATTCCAGTAGCAGGACAAGAGACAACAGGCACAAACTGAAACACAGGAGGTTCCCTCTGAAAATCAGAAAACGCTTTTTCACTGTGATACAGGTTGCACTGAGAGGTTGTGGAGTTTCCTTCCTTTGACAAATTGAAAAGTCCGGGCAACTGGCTCTAGGTGGCTGTGCTTGAGCAGGGGGTTGGACTAGATGACCTCCAGAGGTGCCTTCCAACCTCAACCATTCTTTGATTCTGTAATTTCGGCGAAGCTACTGAAGGTGAAGGGTTCTGGAGCAGAGGCTCGCGCCGAGGGACCCTTTCTCCGGTGGCAAAACCGCAGCGGCGAGGCGGCAAAAAGCGCCGAGAGAGAGAG